TTTGATGAGCTTCTCCGCATTTCTTCCCACCTGTGTCTTTCAGTCCATTTCAGTCGTTTCTATCTAGACGTCTGGGTCATTCCAATTTTCTGACTGTCCGTCTGTCTGTCTGTCAGAACATCTGACCATTCGTTCTCCAGCTGATTACGCGCATGGCTTCCTTTCTCATCTGTCATTATGCATATTTACACAGGCGGAGACAAGCAGCGACTCGTGTATCGTTGTATCTGGGCTTCCGGAGAGGAATGGAAATAAACATGCTGGTGAAATAGCCAGTATGGCCTTACGTCTTGTTGTAAACCTAAAGACCTTCAAGATCAGTCATATGCAAGGAACAACGCTACAATTTAGAATTGGAATCCACATTGGTGAGCATATTATAAAACAAGAATGAATCAAGTTCCCCATCTATCTATGAAACAAGAAGAGGCAGTTCGTTTCGTAATGAGCATTGGACTCGGCAAAAAGCTTATGTCTCCCACGAGAAATCTGATCCGATACCTTCGGATTTCGTGCTACGAAGCAGTACCTCTCTTAGTAAAATCATTATCATTATTATTATGATTATTATTACTATAGTTATTATTACTAAGTAGTTGTAGTAGTAGTATCGTTATTGTTGTATCGTTATTAGTGAGTTCCTTCTCAGGAAAAGTTTCTCATCATTCCTCATCAGCTTTCTATCTGTGTTTCTTTTCCAGGCCCCTGTGTTGCAGGAGTGGTAGGCCTAAAGAAGCCTCGTTACGACATATTTGGCGAAACAGTTGACATTACAAGACAGATGGAGGAAACTGCAACTGGTATCGTAATGTCGATTATTCCTGTTCTTCGTGATAAAATTGATTTACCTGCTAAAACGTTAAAAGCAACTTTGGTAGCTTTTGTAATGGGGCTTAATGTCATAAGTAAGTTATGAATATTAAGCGTGAATGTTCCTTTATATCTGCAGCTCACAGAATTCATGTGAGTTCCATGTGCAAGTCTGTTCTGGATGAGTTGGGAGGTTTTAGAATGGAAGACAGAGGCCTGAGTAACATCAAGGTTAGTGTTAGAATACCATTTCGAGATACTTTCCAAAAGTACCCGACCGAGGAAATTCTCTCTTGCTTTATCAATAGGCTATTCACCGGGGCCTGGTTCCTCGAAGAGCGGATAAGGCTGTCCAACAGATAAATCGCTATCCAGCGGATAAGGGTTACCAAAACCTACTGCACTATCCACCGGATATAGATTTATCCAGTGTATAGCGTTATCCATCCTTCGAAGAACCGAGGCCTGGTTGATGGTTTGAACGACGGCTCATTTACTTAGAGCCGGGTCTCAAAGCGGTTAACCGGTAGCCGCAAAACGGCCAAAATAATTTACCGTTAGATGTAAAAACTGCCAAATTTTAACCGATAGTTGTAAAAATAGTTAACCTTGAAAAAAAGGCTTGGTGACAACAATTAAATGATATTAACCATTAGTCGTAAAATGGCCAAATTTTTAACCGTTAGCCGTAAAAGCCATTACCCCAGTGAGACCCTCTTACTAATTGACTAACCGACTGGCTGACTATTGCTGGCTGGCTCTGAACGTCTGACTCGGACCTACTGAATAACCGTTACTGGGTGACAGTTGACTGACTGACTAACAGGCTGGCTGGCTGATAGATTCGTAGACGCAATAGCTGACCGACTGACCAACAAATTAAATGGTATAGGACTTGCAAGAATAAGTGGTTGTCTGGTCCTAAAATAATCGATATTATATTCTAATTCGCTACCCCGCTCAGACGAGTACAAAACATTTATCATTCAATAAGCAACCACAATTGAGGTGTGTCAACACGAGCCGTATGCGACTTTCTTTATCACGTCTTTATCAACAAAATGGATTGGAATGATACATCAATAGAATGAAAACTCGGAAATGTAAAAAGTATAGCACTGAAGAAAGAACAATCTAAACTGTGTTCGTATATACAAAAACTACTTCTAAGAAAAACTGATAACCCCTGGTCACTGGGTATTTACTTGTAGGGCGAAGGGACGGTCCTAAGACGCGAATGAATATAAATGACAACAATTCGAAAATATAGCCTGCCACTAATTAATGAAGCAATTGCAACAACATACCATGTAACACGCTAAAGAAAGGGTTACATAACCCAAGATAAATACGTTGTAACTTATAAAGGAGTACATGCACCGGCCTTCCCCGTACTTTTTACTGCAGGCTCAAATCTTAGGATTTTTTGGAACGTATTAGCGCGAATTAGCTGGTGTGAC